GAGCACAAGCCATGGAGGAATGCTGCTTACTGGCTTGCTCCTCTGGCCCCTGCTCAGCCTGCTTTCTTATGCAGCACAGGCCCACCTGCCCAGGGGTGACACCTCCCACAGTGGGCTGGGCCCTCCCACATCACTCATCAAGAAGATGCCCCTCAGACATGGCCACAGGCCAGTCCAACGGCAACTCACTAATTGAGGCTCCCTCAACCTGGGTGTGTCAAGTTGACATTAAAGCTATCCAGCATAATCCATCCCTTCTGAGTTTTAGTTTGTAGACAAAAGCATTTTCTGATGGCTTATCGCTCCCTTAGCTGAGAGAATGGACTGGAGGTCTGGTGGGACTGAGGTGTTAATTCTAAGGAGAGATACCTATGTTTCTCTCCAAGCTACCAGACAACCACCTTTCCAAAGCAATTATACCTGCAAATTCAGTGTATTTAAGAGGCATTTGGGAGTCTGACCTCAAAGCTAACCTGCAAAGAGAAGCTATAAAAGGCTTCTCTGTCAGAAGAACGGGTCGAGGCATGAAGAACTCTGGCATTAGTTATGCCATTTTGTAAAACCTCTCCATTTTGGCTAAACCTTAACAATTCCTGAAATTCAGTTTGGTTCTACAAACTGAAGCAACTTCTTTTTCTAGATTCTTTCCCTCTTTGCTCTATCAATCAATCCCCAGTAATGGCTTGAGGAGTTTTCTTAATCTTTTAGGGACATCAACTCAAGTAAAACTCAACCTTGGCTTCCACACAGAAAAAAAGTTTCAGGGGGAGCCAGTAGGAGGCAGAATTGTGGTCTATAGGGTGTGGTGGTGCACACCTGTAGTCCCAGCACTTGGGAGGCAGAGGCAGGTGGATCTCTGTGAGTTCAAGGACAGCTGGGGCTACAGGGAGACCCTGCTTCAAAAAGAAAAAAAAAAACAAAAAACATTTTTAATATAGACATTAAGCATGAGGGTTAAGAGAAGGAAAGAAATGCTCAGGGGCATCTTCTGATAGAGATGACAGAGAAGCCTTTTATAGCTTCTCTTTGCAGGTTAGCTTCAAGGTCAGACTGCCGAATGCCTGTTAATTACAGGACATAGGAGAGCATGGCTGTGGCTGTTCTCCTTGGCTCTTCACTGTCTTTACAACAGTCATATGCAGGACTGTGACCAGAAGCTCCTGCACGCACAGTGAATGGTCTAGAAGGCTGATTAGCTCATCAGAACCCAGTGCCTGTGAGGAGTTAGAATGCTGCAAGTCCAGAGTTTAATAACCACTTCTTGCCCATCTCTGTGTCTGACATGACATCCTTGTGACTATCTGGTAAAACAGCTTAGAGTATATTAACAGACCCCTAGCATTAATCAATGTCAGCACGTAACAGCTGAGGCCTAGAGTGGAGGTCTTCTGCTTTGCTGTTTCCTCCAGTGTACTTGAAAAGTGTATCCATCTATGACTTTCTTTGTCCTGTTAATAAATGACTTATTATTTTTAACTTTCTCATATATACAAAGTCTTAAAAAATTTTTTATTGGCCAGGTGTGGTGATAGAACACCTTTAATTCCAGTACTTGTGAGGCAGAGGCAGGCAGATCTCTCAGAGATCGAGGCCAGCCTGGTCTAACCAGGGCTACATGGAGACTATCTTAAAGAACACTGAACTACCTAGAAATAGTTTTATATTGTAATAATGAATTTTATTTTCAAATTTTGATCAAGGACAAAATAATAAATTTAAGCAGATAAAAAGTATGAAAATCAGGAAAGTCATACACACATATAGAGACGATACGAACAGTAGATTGATTTTAGTTGATTCAGTCCTATTTACACATTTAAAATACAAAATACATTTCAATCTGTCAAGAAGCTGACCCCATTTAGCACCAGAAAAGGAACTTTACTTTAGCTTCTGATCATGAGTTCAGCATCCTCAACAGGAAAAGAAACTTCATGGACTCTAGAGGTACTTATTACTGTCAATGAATAAAAAAATCAAATTTGAAAAGAAATCCCCATGTATCATCAATGCAAAGGGACTGACAGCTTGGAGCTGGACTACTTGATGCTGCGGACCACTCTTCTGCAGTGGTTCGTCTTCATCTCTTCCAGCGCTTGCTCTAGCTGCTGCACTAGATGAAGCAGGGTGGCTGGGTCCGTCTGCAGAACTCTGGTACTGTGGCCTCCATTCTCAGCGAGGTGCAGCCGCATAGTCACTGTTGGTTTAATCTGCCGCCTGAGACTTCTGCTGGCAAGCTTGATTCGAAGTGGAAAAAGAGCGCAGTGATTGCGTAATAACCATGCTACATACACAACATCTAAAATTAGGTACCATGCAAAAAATCAAATTTAGGCTGAACCAGACTTCAAAACGGAAAATAAACTTGAAGACCTTTGGAATGAGACTAGAAATAAAACTTTATGGTATGAAAAGAATCCTTAAACATGATTCAAAAGTCACACATCACAAAGACAAAACTGATTCTTCACAGGACACCTTCAGATGGTAAAAAGATAAGCCATAAAATGGGAGAAGATATTTTGCAAAAAACAAGTAGGGCCAGTGAAATGGCTCAATTGGGTAAAGGCTCTTGTTGGGTAAAGGCTCTTGACTACATGAATACAATCTCTGGAACCGACATGGCTGAAGGAGAAAATTTACTCTTCTATGTTGTCATCTAACTTCCACACATGCATTATGAGACACATGTCCCCAACTCCCCCCACTCCACAATTAGTTACATTTAACAAAAAATTATTCTATTTATTTTTGTTATTTTATATGTATGAGTGTATTGCCTGCATGTATGTAAGTGCACCCATTTTTACAATGCCCATGGATGTCAGAAGAGGGCATCAGATCCCCTGGAACTGGAGTTACTGATGGTTGTTAGCCACCATGTGGGTCCTGGGATTGAAACCCGAGTCTTCTGCAAGAACAGCTAGTGCTCTTAACTGCTGAGCCATCTCTCCAGCACCAATAAATGTAATTTTAAAAGAACCCTGAAGAGTATAAGAAAACTCTGAGTAATAGTTTTCTCTAAGGTGGTAGAGGAGGGCCTAAAATTAAGGTGGGCTTGAGTGATTCAGAGATACTGGTTTTACTGTATTATTAAGCTTGGTGGTGAGTATGCTGGCATTTGTTTTTGTTACTATTCTTTAAACTGGGTATCTTATAATCTTTGGTTTGTATAATGCAATGCAATTTTTTTTGTTTTTTTGGAGACAGGGTCTCACTATATAGCTCTGTTTGTGAAATTTTCCGTTTAAAAAAAACAGAAATGATTAGATTGTCTTTTCAAAATAGAAAGTGGTTTGTGGATAAAGGGTAAGGAGAGAAGTCAAGAATTATTCCAAGTATTTTTTTTTAACATTTTAGATACAGATCATGTACACTTTTTATTACATTTTATTTATTTATGTATCTGTGTATGCATGCCATGATGCTTGTGTGGAAGTCACAGGACAACTTTAGGAGTCGGTTTTCTCCTTCCACCCTGTGGGTTCCAGGAACAGGAACTCAGGTCCTCTGGCTTGGCAGCAATTGCCTTTCCCAACTGAGCCATTCACCAGCCCCAATTCTAAATACTTTTATTCTGGGTAAGTCTGAGCACAGACTCTTATTCAGCGAGATGGGAGAAGACTATGGAATAGTCAGGAAGGAGAAGGCAGAACGCAGTGTTTGGATATATTGCATTTGAACACATCAAACGCCCAAACTGACATGTGGAGGTGGCTTCAATTGTATAGCAGTTCAGAGGCAAGTCTAGGCCTTAGAAATAAATTTTGGAATATTAAGTACACTGGTGATATATAAATCCATCAAATTAGATGAGTTTGGCAGACTATAGATAGGAAAAGTATGAAGACTAGAGAAGTGGAACATCTAACGTTTCACTGTCAACAAAATGAGAGATGAGCAATAGAGGCCCAAAAAGGAAGCTCTATAAGCTGGATGGGAACCAGAGAGAGGAATTTACCACAGGACAACACAAGGCAGTATTTAAGTAGGAAGGAATGGATAACTATGATGGATGCTAATAAACACTAAAAAGACTTTGGTTAGTCTGTGCCAGTAGAGTGGTACTATGAAGCCTCGTCAGAGAGGGATCAAGAGAGAAAGGGACAAGAGAATGAAGGCACAGACAATTCTTGATGTAAAGGGAAGGAAGAAAAAAAAGGTGTCAGTGGGAGGAATGAATGACGTCAAGGCTGGGTTTCCTGAGACCGTGTTTGGCGGTTCTAGCAGCCACGGTCAGCCACTGGGATAGCCTTGACCTAAGAGCAGTCCGATGCTATCAAGGAGGGCTGTCCTTTTTGATCAAGAACATAGCTTCAGGAGAGACACACAGAATGATGGAGGAAGTGGACACCCTTCTGGTCAGTCAGAACAGCTGTACCAACCCTGACCAATGGGGTGACATGTCACACACAGCCAGATCACTTTCACATTCAAGACTGTATGTGAATTGACTGAAATAAAAGGAATGATTTAGCATGGAGGCAAAAGAGGTCTGATGCAGAAAAAGAGGAACAAGTGTTGGAATGATGTCTTCATGTGACCAAATGGGGCTGGGCTGAAGGGGTCAAGGGTAGAGGCTGTCTATGAAATAAGCAAGATTTCATCAATAGTGACAATGGTGAACGCAGAGCAAGTGGACACTAATATAGATGTCACAGCAGGTACAGAGGCAGGAACTTATGAGTCAGCCAAACAGGAAGCAAAACCAACGGGACAGCATGGAGTCGGTTAGGAAAGAGAGCACACGAGACATTCACGGTCCTCGCTATCGCTGAGGTCATTGTTCTTTGTAGGAAATGGAATGTGTGAAATGACTGGCTCATGAATGACTCATAAATGATCCACATTCCCTCCACCCCCAGGAAACACAGGTGTAATGAAAAAGAAAACACGTGCCACCAGGATTTAACGGACTTGCAGCACAGAGAATTTATCTCAGGAGCATCATTTAAAGCAGAGGTTGGCAATTTTTTTTCTGTAACTAATCAGATACTAAATACTTTAGGTTTTGTATACTATATAATTTTTGACCCAACTTCTTAATTCTACTCTTGGTTTTTTGTTTGTTTTCTTTTGAAGACAGGGTCTCACTGTGTAACCCTGGCTAGCTTGGAACTCACTATTAGAGCAGGCTGGTCTTGATCTCACAGAGATCCACCTGTGTCTGCATCCCGAGTGCTGGGACTACAAGTATTTGTCACTATAACCAGCAGCTGCCCCTGTCCTTTAAGAACAGCCATAGGTAATATACAGATATATACACATGGCTGCATCCCAAGAAATGTTATAAACAGCAAGTTAGATTTAGCCTATGTGACAGTTTGCTAGGCCCTAATTTAAGCTGCAATTTATTAAAAGTGTAAGAAAACAGAGTTAAGAGATAACAGCAAGGCAGAGACAAAGAAGCACATGACACACAGAGGAAAACGGCGTCGAGGCGTACATTCTTCACACTTCTGATTCTACTTTTTTTCTGGTTTGCCCAAGGATGCCCAAATGACTACGTTAATGTTACATGTTTACCAAAGAATCTACAAAAGCATCCTACTGTCAGTTCATCTAAACTCTAATCACATTTTTAAAAAAATTTTATTTATTATTTTTATGTGTGTGTGTGTATTGCCTGCATGTAGGTAAGTGCACCCATGTCATGCAATGCCTGTGGAGGTCAGAAGAGGTTGTCGGATCCCCTGGGTCTGGAGTTACAGACAGCTATCAGCTGCCATGTGGGTGCTGGGATTCGAACCCGGGTCTTCTGCAAGAACAACCAGTGTTCTTAACTGCTGAGCCATCTCTCCAGCCCTCTAATCAAATTTCTATAACCTGTTTTGACCACCTTACTTCAAGTCACAAAGAATCCACTGTCACGATGCCTGTCAGCAGTGCCTGGTGTACTACTTACTGCTGTCCTATTTTTTGAGGTCCAGGCCAAACTTTAGACCAGTATGATCAGAATCTCTCCGAATGGGATACAGTCATCAGAATTTCTTAAAATCCCAGATTATTTCAAATGCAATGAAGCTAGGGAACAAGGCCAACGTCATATAGTCATGTTCATTTCCTCATTCATGTGAGACTTTACAACCTAGGTTTTGTTTTTAACTTTCCTTAATGAGCTATTTTGAGAACACCTAATAACTCTAACCAGATGATAGCATCTTTTCTAGCTAAAAAAATACCTCACACTTCTTTTGTGTCCCAAACCATTTAGCATAGCTTTCGTCAGCAAATGGGCAACATCCAACAGATGTGTGTTGTCTTTCTCTGCTTAATAAAGGGCTACATGCAACAGTCTGAAAACTTTTTTTTTAATTTATTTGTTACTTATTTTTCTGAGAGAGATTTCATTATTTTACAAAGACTAGTCTCCAAACTCCTGGGCTAGTGTCCCTCCTGCCTCAGCCTCCCAGGTAACTGAGACTAAGAGTGTATGTTGTTATGCTTGGCTCTTACATTTATGAATCTTTCAAAAAGATACCAAAAAGATAAATCTTTCAAAAATAATGTTTTGCAAAAGAAGCCAGACACAAAAGAGATTTGTATGTTTTTGCATTTTCATGTTAGAGATTGAATACCAGACCTCACATTTGCTAGGCAAATACACAGAACCAGACTTCCAGTGCTATGAAAGAGTACTGACCAAGTGATTGCATGTACAGAGATAAAAAGAGTAAGCTGTGTTAGGAGGCAGGATCTGTGGGAAGGAGCAGTAACTGGTAAGAGGGAAGAAAGGTGCCTCTGGGCTATTGGTCATGATCATGTCCATCTCATGATAGACTGTGTGATAATTTACTGAGCTGCACACTGACCCGTGCACTTTCTTTGTGTGTTAGATTTAAAGATAAGTGACTTAAAAACTAAGCACTGCCTGAAAAAAATCTGCATAACCATCTTTTTTTCCAAACTAACTGATTTCTTTCTTTTCCAAACTAACTGATTTCTTTAAAACTCTGCACTTGCTGCCAAGCCTGATAACCTGATCTCAATCCCTGGGATCCATGTGATGGAAGGACAGAACCGACTCTGGAAAGTTGTCGTCTGATCTCTACACACCTGTCATGACTCACATGCGTGCGCACACACACACACACACACTAAATACGTGTGCTAGAAATTTAAGTAAATAGAATTAAGTAAAAATTTAAAGTCAGTTAAATATATTAAAAATAAAAGGAAATTAGCTATTTGTTAAATGGTCTAAAAAAGAAATTAAAACCAAAAACCAAAAACCACCAGTTTCAAACCACAGCTTGGATAAGGTGGTAAGTAACACAAGTAGGCCCTGCACCTTAAATAATTCTTATAGTCTATGTCAGGTTAAAAAAAGAAAAAAGCCATACCATACCTGTACATCCAGTCGCCACTCAAGGCTGTGGTAGCTGGGAAGGGCAGGTGCCAACTCATTTAGAACAGTTCTGATCTCCTTTCTGTTGTCCAGATAAAGTTGAAGCAATAATTTGTTCAATTCTTCAGAGAATCCCAGAACAAAAACAGAATCTTGGAAATCTAGTTCAGAAATCTAAAAGTAAATTGATTTTAAAAGAACATCAAATTTTATTTTTGTCTAGTAAATATTAAGATATTTTCTTTTGGGGGGTATCTTTTTTTTTTTTTTTTTTTTTTTTTTTTTTTGTCTTTTTGAGACAGGGTCTCCCTGTAGCCCCAGCTGTCCTGGATTCACTATGGAGACCAGGCTGGCCTTGAACTCGGAGGGATCCACCTGCCTCTGCCTCCCGAGTGCTGGGAGCCACCACGCCCAGCTTAAAATACTTCCTAAATATAAAAGTACATTAATCCCAGCCCAGCCCTTTAATCCCAGGGCTCAGGAGGCAGAGGTGGGTGGATCTCTGTGAATTCAAGGCCAACCTGGTTTACATAGTGAGTTCCAGGCCAGCTGGGGCTACAGGGAGACCCCATCTCCAAAAGATAAACAACAAACAAACAATCATTGCCTACCATTCCAAAATCTGAGACATTAACACATAAATTACCTTAAATACAAAAAGAATTAAGATGCCCACTTTTACTTCCTATTTTCCCATCAAGCGAGATGCTGCCAGTATGTGAAATAAGCAATTTCATTCTTCCTGCTCTCAGGGTACACATATGCTGGTGTATGGTTTGACAACGCACATTACAGAATTAAGAGACAAATATAATTTATACTAGCAAGAGGAATTTAGAGGATGACATTATAGTCATCATTTAGGTATGTCTTCACAAATTCAATTATGAGGTTTAAAAACGTTTTTTATTGAGTTTTTGTACATTTCATACAACAGTTAATCAAATTTAGATCCCTTCACCCACTGATTATGAATCTTTTTGCTTTTTTAATTTTATGTGTATGAGTGTTATGCCTGCATGTATGTAAGTGCACTCATGTCATGAAATGCCTACGGAGGTCAGAAGAGGATACGGGATTCCCCTGGAACTAGAGTTACAGTTGTTAGCTGCCATGTGGATGGTGGGAATTGAACTCTGATCCTCTGCGAGAGCACCCAGTGCTCTTAACCGCTGAGCCAACTCTCCAGCTCCTCCATGATAAATTATTAATATTATTAACAGGTGCCTGTTTTAAAGGATCCAGGTAATACAGTACAGTTCAGAGAAGCTTTACCATGAGTTTTGAACTCTCAGTGAGGAGATAAGTTAATCCTTCCACACCATGCTGGATAGTGTCACTACTCACATTGAGTTTTCCTAAAGAAAGATAAAGAAAAAATGAACAAATTATCCTTTTGTTGAAACTCCTATTTAAAAATACACATTTTCAGCCTGGCTGGATGGTGCATGCCTTTAATCCCAGAACTAGAGGCAGTCTGGTCTACACGGAGAGTTCCAGGCCAGTTGGGGCTACAGGAAGACCCTGTTTCAAAAAAAGAAAAGAAACAAGCAAACCTATATATTCTATTATTTCAAACAGTAGACTGAAAACCGGTAAGTTGAGCAGAGCCTCCTGCTCTTTCTCACCCTACCCCATTAAGAGATGTTTTCAATAATTCAATATTTCAAAACAGAGACCTGGGGACACTTAATACCAGGCTCCTTCAAAGCTGGCAAAAAAACTCAACAAGGGCGGACTTAATCCCCTAAACCACCCCTCCTCCAGGGGGAAAAGGACACCAGTAAAATGAATTTCTGGACAACAAATGTTAACCAAACACTTGAAAGATCTTTTTAGGTAGCCTAACCGTTCCACAGCCTTTGCAGCATTTTATTATACATCATGGTACTTATGAAAGGTAGATGCTGTTATCTTCATTCTAAATATGAAGAAACGTATTTAGCAGAAGCTTTAAAATCTCACTGCTACTTAGACGATGCGCAGGGTCTGCGCTCTGCCTGGGAGCAGAGCGAATTTTTAATCTGCTGCATTTGGAACAAGATCCTGGGACCTGCAAAAGCCCCTTCCCTGCACCGATGAGAGAAGGGCTAGCATTTTCCGGCGCCAGAGGCAGAACCCTGCTCCGCCCTTTCTTACTGGCGGCGCCTTCGTAGATCTTCGGGTTCGATCCTCGTCTCAGGAACTCCACCGCAATCCGCCCGAACTCCGCGACCACTGCAACGGAAGTGAGGCCGTGAGCGCAGGGCTGTCCCCTGCGCCCTTCCCGCCACAGGCACCCCGACTCCCTCACCCGCGCTGTCCACTTGTGGCAGGAACGCCAGGTGCTCCCTATGCTCCTCGGACAAGTCCAGCAACATCTTCGCTGGGCGGCGGATTTCACCCAACACCGCCAACCCTGCGCTGGCCGCTTCCGGCGCTCTGTGCAATCAAAAAGAAGCTCCGGCGGGGCCTCACTGCCCCAAACTTTAGGTTCCGGTCTCTGGTGGTCCTGTAAGCACCTGATTGCCTGGAGCATGATGTAGGAGTGGAGGTGGGAGGTGAGGTGGGGGTTGAAGGCACAAGTTTTCCATTCATAGATCATCCTGCAAACGTGTAATGAGTGCTTTCTGGGTGCACAGCGCTAGGCTCTGTGGGAAAGGACAAGGTGTTTCAAATCCCACTAGTCCACCTGTGGAACGTATATCAATGATATCAATAGCTAACGTTTGTTAAATACTGTCAGGAATGTTCTTACATTTAGCCCACAGTTCATGAGAAAGAAACGTGTTACACAGGTCCATTACTATTTCCATAAGAAATATGAAAGCAGAGAGGTAAGTGAAACAACGAAAACTTTGGTTATTTGCGCACAACTTTGATTATGTTATTTATCTCATTTAACAGTCTCAACAGCCGTGGCCTCCTTTTTAAAATGAAGAAACTGAGCCTGGAGAGATAGCTCAGCTGTTAAGAACACTGGCTACTCTTGCAGAGGCCCAGGCTTGCTTCCCAGCCCATACATGGTACCTACCTACATTTTGTAACCCCAGTCCCCGGGCCGTCTAATGCCCTCTTCTGACTCTCAGGCATTGCATACATGTGGTGCACTTAAGTATAGACAAAACACTCATACACATTAGATAGATGATAAACAGATGATAGATGATAGATAGATGATAGATATTGATATAGATAGATGATAGATAAATATAGATGATAGATATAGATAGATGACAGATAGATAGATAGATGATAGATGACAAAAAAAAATTTTAATGAAGAAACTAAAGTCAGAAGATTATAGATCAAAACTGGAAGGAGATTGTTAGATGCCTTGCCTATCTGACCCAAGCCCCAGCCCCTCTGTGTACCAGGCTGAAAGTTAAAGGTTTGTAACATTGTTTTTTTAAAATTATTATTATTATTTGTGTGTGATTTGTGTGGGTGAAGGTGTGTGAAGGTCAGAGGACAGGCTTTGTGAATCCAGTCTCCCCTTCCATTGTGGGACCCAGGATGGAACTCAGGTCTTCAGACTTGCCATCTCCCTAACTCAGTAACATTTTTTTGTTTTGTTTTGGGGGTGCTAAGGATCAAATCCAGGACTTCATAATACTAAATATGTACTCTATTATTAACTATATCTTCCTCTGCAATAAGCTTTATGAATAATTCTAAATTAGGATAAAGATGATGATGTGATGACAGTAACAGATGTTTATAGGATTCAGAGCAACGTCATTATTTTTATCTTTTGAAGATATGTGAACATTTGATCTCCTTTCCAACTGTCTTCTCACCTCCTTTGTTTTGGGTTAGATAATAAGAGGTTACTGAATGCTAATTGATAGGAATGTGACTCTCCAAATCTCTCTCCTATCATGGGAGGAAGAGGAGGGGAAGAAAAAGAGAGGGAGGGTGAGAGACTTCATGCCTAGCTTTTATATCTAGGAGTTCTAGGATTCAACCCAGGAGCTCTCAAATGCTAGTCAAGTACATTTCTTTATCCCCAGCTAGAGACACCTGTTCCTATAATCTGTCTCCAAAACAAAAGTGGAAATTAGTTTTTAAAGCTCCTCTGTTTCTACCTTATCCTAATTTATATCTTTAAAAAAAGGCAAAAACAAAAACAACCCCTTACATTGATACTTCAGAAAAGAATACATCAAAATGCAAAATAAGTACATGAAAAAGTGTTATGTCATCAGGGACATAGAAATTTAAATCACAATGATGTGCCATTTCAAATGCACCGGAATGATTAAAAGTAGATGCTTATGACAGCAAAGGCTGGTGAAATTATGAAAGAGAAGCTAGTCTGTTGTTAGTAGAAGTGTGAAATCTTAAAACTACTTTGAAGACTCTTCATTTCTTTTGCTCTCTCCCGCTCTTTTTTTTTTTTTTTTTTTTTTTTTTTTTTTCGCTCTTTTTGAGACAGGGTCCCTCTATAACCCCAGCTGTCCTGGAACTCAGTTCGTAGACAGGCTAACCTTGAACTCACAGAGCTCTGCCTGCCTCTGCCTCCCCAGTGCTGGGTTAAAGGCGTGAGTCACCAGGCACAGAGAAGACTTAATTTCTTATAATGTTCATTGTACATTCACTTTACTATCAAATAATTCCATTCTTAAGTATTTACACAAAAGAAATGAAAACATATATTTAGAGAACACTTTCACAGTAGTTCATAAGTACTTTATTTATAATATCTCAAAGATGGAGACAATCTGAATATGCAATTGAATAGATAACATGACACATCCATAAACAGAACACTTAACCATTCAGTAACTTAAAAAATATACTAACGGGGGGGGGGGTGTTGGCTCATGCTGTAATCGCCAGCACTTGGGAGCTTGAGGCAGTAGGACTGCTGTGAGTTTTAGACTAGTCTGGGTTACAAAAGTTAGTTGTGCACCAGCCAGGGCTACATATAGCACCATGTCTCAAAAACCTAAATAAAGGGGGCTGGAGCGATGGCTCAGCAGTTAAGAACACTGGCTGTTCTTGCAGAAGTCCCAGGTTTGAATCCGAGCACCCACATGGCAGCTAACAGCTGTTTGTAACTCCAGTTTTAGGGGCTCCGATGGCCTCTTCTGTCCTCCTCAGGTGTTGCACAACATGGGTGCACTTACATATATGCAGGCAATACATGAATACACATAAAACAAAATAATAAAAAATTTTAAAAGCCAAAGCAAAACAGTGGTACTATTGATAAATGTGACAATCTGAACAAATCACAAAACGTTAAATAGAGCAATGTAATCCAGACCCCAGAGTGAACAATGGCCTGACTGAAGTGCTTTGGGAATCCTATGTATAGAGATTGAAGTCAGAATTTGCCTAGGCATTTGAAGAAACTTTCAGGGCGGGGGGGGGTAAGTGTTATCTGGGAGTCTTGTTTACGCAAACACATGCTTGTTACCCACTGAATGTTACAATTAACATCCATGCAGTTCATTGTATGGTCAGCTTTACCCCAGTTTTTTAAAAAAAAAAGATTATATAAGTTGAACTTCATATTCAAATCCTATTTAGATTTCAAAGTAATAAAAGTATTTGAATATGTTAATCCTATATAAGAATTATTTCTGTGGAAATGAGACAAAATACATGATTAGTAATATTTTTATGACCTTTCATGTCATAATGAATTGATATCTCCATTCTAGAATTGAGGGGAAAGTCCTATAAATAACTACTTAACATTTATGAATATATAGTCCAATAAGAAGACTAAATAAAAGTATACATAGATATAGTTTTAAAAAGATAGAAAGAAATGTTTCAGCTGAAACTAAAATGATGTCTGAGATCCGCACAGAACCTAGATGATATTTCTAACTCTCTTAGAAACCTTGTTTACAGATTTTATAAAAATTTATTTTATGGGACTGACGAGATGGCTCAGCAGTTAAGAGTACTGACTACGCTTGGAGAGGACCTGAGTTCAATTCCCAGCACCCACATGGTGGCTAACAACCATCCCTAACTCCAGTTCCGGAGGATCTGACACCCTCTTCTGACTTCCTGGACCAGTGCATGACACGGGTGCATCTACCTACATGCAGGCGTAACACTCATACACATAAAAAATAAGAATAATAAAATGTAAATTCTTTTATTATGTTCTACATTTATATAACTTCAAAACCCTAAAGCATTGAAACAAATCTGGAAAAACAAAATAAGAAATACAATAAAAATTCCAGCTCCCATCCTCATACCCCCCTTAGTTTCCCTACCAACACAGACAACTACTTGCTTCTGTTGTTTTTTTTTTTTTTTTTTTTAACGAATTCTTTCTGAGACTATGAAAAAAAGAGTCCTCAATATTTTCACTAGGGGCAACAGTAACTGTGCTGGTTAATTTTGGTTGTTAACCTGGCTGGATCTGGAATCAACGAAGAGAAAAATCTCTGCGGCACGTCCATTGAGAGAGCATCTAGTTTAAGGTTAGCCTCTGAGAGTGTGTGTGAGGGGGTTTCACGATCAGATATTTGAAGTGGAAGATCTACCCCAGATGTGGGCGGCACCTTCCAGTGGCAGCTCAGATGAAAGGAAGTTCAAGGGAAAAGCGTTTCTTCTGGCCCTCTTGCCTGTGTTTCAGTCAATCCTGTAGCTGCTGCCAGCTGCCGCCGCCAGCTCTGCTGCGTTCCTTCCCTGACAGAACCCGGCTTCTTCAGGTTTCTAACCTGCATGGGTGACGAGGAGCTCTTCAGGCCTTCAGTGCCATATTGTACTGTGGAGGCATCCAGCGTTGTGGACTGAGGAACTACTGGATTCTCAATGTGAAGACAGCTATTTTGGGCCTACCCAAACCATATCATGTAAGCCTATATGTATATATGTATAATATATATATAATACATATATAATATATTCATTTTATGGGTTCTGTTCCTCTAGAGAACCCTGAGCAATACAGTCTCAAAGAAAGCATGCCATTAAACATTATCCTGTTGAACTCATGTAGCATTCGAACTATTATTAGATACATTGACATTAGAATTAGAGATTCTATTGACCAAGTGTCTATCCAACCCAGGTCTGACATGACTTTTCAGAGCACAATTTCAGGAGAGTTTCCGCTCATTGCTGGACCTCTTTGAGTCGTCAGATTAGAAACGCTCTTTTTGGCCAGGACTCTTGCTATTCCTAACTGCTGAAGCCATCGCTTCTCTTTAAAGGCACTGTAAGAAAAACAGACACTTCACAAGAAGGTGCAGACTCATCCGGTAGATTGCTGAAGGGGTCAAAAGCTTTAGGGTGCTTTTGTAGCTGTGGTTAGTTTACTGGTTACATAGGTCAGATGTGAAATATAAACATCAATCATTCTAAAACCGGTTCTGTGCAATGTAGTGGGAATGACATTTTCTCAATACAATACTACAAGTTTAGAACCCACGACTAGAAACCAAAAGGCAATCAATGCCATATAGAATTTTCTGTGCTGAAATTCTGGCAACTCTGTATACACAAACCCCCTGGCCACATTTCTTCCCTTCCCCCAAATCACAATAGGATTTTGTTGTTGTTGTCTTTTTGAGACAGGGTCTTCCTGTAGCCCCAGCTGACCTGGAACTCACTATGTAGACCAGGCTGGCTTCAAACTCACAAAGATCCACCTGTCTCTACCTCCCAAGTGCTGGGACTAAAGGCGTGTGCCACCATGCCCAGCTTTACAGTAAGATTTTTGACAAAAAGTTTGCTTTTGATAGTCTTTAACGAAAATGCAAGGGAACTAATATTTTACTATAACTAGTCTATGTCTATATACTAATAATAACTTGTAAATTTGAAGATGATCATTCCTAGTTTGTAGGATGAAAATGTAATTCATTAAAGAAGAATTTTACATCTCCTTAAATATTGGCATCATCTAAGAGTCCACCCTTGGTCTTGTTTTCTGTGCCCTCATGACTTTCACTTATGACTTCAATTCCTGAATCCATGACTCTTACATGCTGCTCTTTTAAAAAAAAATTATTATTATTATTTTTTATGTGTATGAGTGTATTGCCTGCATGTGTTTTGCAGTGCTGCGGAGGTCAGAAGAGGGCTTCCGATTCCCCTGGATGATTGTTAGCCACCATGTGGGTGCTGGGAATCGAACCCGGGTCCTCTGCAAGAGCTCTTAACTTCTGAGCCATCTCTCCAGCTCTGCAAATAAGAATGTTTTTTCCCACGAATGCGTCCAGTCTAGCACATCTTTTGTGGTCTTCCTGTATTTGTTCCCTTCCCAGTGTCCCTGTTCTGGCATTGCTCCTTCTTACCCTCCCTAGCTACAAAACCGTAACCCAAACTCCACTCCTTCCCCACCTCACACCTGGTTAGCACCTGAATTTTAGAGGCTGTACCCAGAAGTGTTCCCTCACACTTGCTGGTTTCCCTCTTCCCCAGTAACTTCCGCTGTCTTTGCCAGCTCTTGCCTGTCGTCTGGTGGGTCCTCTAAAATGCGCTTTGCCCATCCTCTTGCTTTCCTGGAAACCCAGTTCCTTGCTTGCCCCTTCACAAAGCAGTACCTTTGACTACGTTACACGTCACCTGAATCCCTTCCTTCACCTCCACCTCTCTTGTCTGTGGAGTCCTGTAAGTTTTTAAAGTGCTCTATTAGGAGTACCTGTGCATAAATACATTTAAACTAGATCCATGTCTGCCTTTTTTTTTTGCTCAGAATTAACCTCTTGCTTTCCCGCAGTGGCTATGTCTCCTTGGGCCCCCTGAAGTAGGTTAACCCAGCCGGGTCCTCAAAATTAACTCTTAAGCTTTGAGACAGTCACTTGGGCTCCCTCAATTAGCCTTTCTATCCCTTAATTTGAAGTCCTCTCCTTCATTCAGATGCAGATCCTCTCTCCTCCCTTGTTCCTAGAGCATCCTGATTCTTGTCCTGGTATCTGAACCCTGGCTTTTTTTCATTCATTCATAATTTTTTATTGTATGCTACCTATATGACAGGTACTATTCTATGTACTGGAGATACAAACAGTGAACAAAGCACACAAGATGAACTGTTTAAAAATAAAACAAAACGGAGACCTCTGTTTTCCTCTGGAGCACAGTCAGCACTTGGGACTGCTGTGTGTTCTCAGGGTGTTCACTCAGCCTTCCGGATCATTCTCCCACACTGACTCGTCACAAACCTAGACTTCAGGTCACATAGATCTGCTGGAATCCAGCGTCAAGCAGCAAGGAATGCTGGTTTCCAGACATTTAGAGACCTTTGACCTGTGTTAACCCTATACCGCCTTCTAGGTGAAGGAACAAGATTTTGTGGCCCTTAGTGTCTGCACTTTCATCCCTGCAAAAGCCACATGAACTCACCCACCTAGACTTATAATAGCACATGTTCTGTGCTAACTGCAGCCTGGTCACCATAGGGAATCCAGGCCAGCTGTGACTAGAGGGAAACCCTGTCTCAAAAAAAGATCCAAAAGAAAAAAAAATATGTATTTGATTGATTTTTTTAAGTAAATCTTTTTTTTCAAGATTTTATTTATTTTGATATTATGTTTGCATATGATTGTTTTGCCTGCATGTATGTAAGTGCACTGTGTGCATGCAGTGCCACAGAGGCTAGAACTGGAGTTAAGGAGGAATGTTAGCCACCATGTAGGTGCTGGGAATGGAATCCAGCTCCTTTGGGAGACCAATAAGTGCTCTTAACTACTGAGCACTCTCTTTAGCCCCTGATTTATTTATTTGTATTTTATGTATATGAATGTTTTGCCTGCTTCTATGTATGTGCGCCACATGGGCCCAGTGCTTGTGGAGGCCAGAAGACACATCAGATCCCCTGGAGATGGAGTTACAGATGGTTGTGAGCCACCATGTGAGTGCTAGGACCCAAACTGGGGTCCTCTTCAGGAGCAGCCAGTGCTCTTAACTGCTGAGCCTTCTCTCCAGCTCCGATTAATCCCTTTTCTTGACAAGTGTTTTCCCCAGAAATTCCGTTCTCAACCTTAAATTTCCTTCCTTTTTGATAGTTCCAATCCTTATGAGATGTAGCTACAAAAAACAAAAACAAAACAAAACAAACCACCCAGCATGCCAGTGTAACAGAGAAAACTGTTCAGAAATGTCTACTAAAGCTAAACCTAAACTTATCCTAGTATCCATTCATTTCTAGGTATAAAATCAAGAGAAACAAATACTAATATCCTTCAAAAGACTTACACAAAAATAATCATATATTGTAATTTAAAATAGCCCCACGTTGGAAACAACCCAGATGTCCACCAGTAAGAAAATAGATACATACATTAGGATATGGAATGCCCCACAAAAGTGGAGTATACAAAAGCCAGAAAATTGGGGGCTGGTGAGATAGCTCAGTGGTGAAGAACACTAACTCTTCTTGCAGAAGATCTGGGTTCAAATTCCAGCACCCACATGGCAACTCACAACTGTCCGTAACTCCAGTTCCAGGGGATTTGACAGCCTCTTCTGTCCTCCATGGGCACTGCACGACACAGATGCCTACATGCAGGCATAACGCTCATACACATAAAAATAATAAATAAAATACTTAAAAAAATAGCAATATACAAAAACCACAAATGAATTTCATCTGTGATATGTTGAGCAAAATGGCAAAATATAAAAAGTAAAGAACAGCATAAATGGATCTTAATAAGGATAACGGCTATATCTGAGAGAAATTACTGTTATATTTGTTTAACCTTTTTTTTTTTTTTTTTAGACAGGGTCTCCCTGGAGCTCCAGCTGTCCTGGAACTTACTATGTAGACCAGGCTGGCCTCGAACTCACAGAGATCCTCCTGCCTCTGCTTCCCGCGTGCTGGGATTAAAGGCATGCGCCACCACGCCTGGCATAATTTCTTTTTTTTAACTTAATTTTAAAAAATTTTATTATTTTATGTTTATACATGTATTTCCTGCATGTAGGTAAGTGCACCCATGTCATGCAATGCCCGTGGAGGTTAGAAGAGGCCGTCGGATCCCCTGGGACTGGAGTTACCGACAGTTGTTAGCTGCCACGTAAGTGCTGGGATTCGAACCCGGGTCTTCTGCAAGAACAACCAGTGTTCTTAACCACCAAGCCATCTCTCCAGCCCCTAATGAACATAATTTCTTTCTACTGAACTACATAGTTTTATCCAGCACTCAGGAGGCAGAGTCAGGCAGATCTCTGTGAGATCAAGTCCAGTCTGGTCTACATAGTGAGTTCCAGGCTAGCTGGGGCTACAGGGAGACCATGGCTCAAAAAAATTAAAACAAACAAACAAACAAAAAACTTCCCCCAAACCAAATAACAACAATAAAAAGATCATAGTTTCATATATGCATACAAAATGTAGAAAGAGAATAGTCTATTATAAAGTGTAGTCAGTTAAACAGAGGCGGGATCGTAGCATGAGCCACCATACTGGGAATACACTGGATTAAAAAAATTGTTTACTCAAAAAGACCAAAAAAAAATTGTTTAAAAACGTGTTTTTGTTGTTCTTTTGAGACAAGATCTCATTATGCAGCACTGGCTGGCCTGAACTCACTATCCAGACCAGGCTGACCTTGTACTCACGGAGATTCATTTGAGTGCTGGGATTAAAATTTTGTGCTACCAAGCCCGGATAAATAAAGAAAAAAGTAATTATCTTATAAAGTTGGATCTTCAGAGCTGGAAAGATGGCTCATTGGTTAAGAGCACTGGCTGCTCTTGCAGAGGACCTGGTTCAGTTCCCAGCACCCACATGGTGGCTAACAACCAGTAACTTCCGTTCCAGAGGATCTGACACCCTCTTGACCTCATCAGACATTGCCCCTCCCGGGTGCAGGCACTACACCAACACACATTAAAAATAAAGTTAGAGCTTCAAGTTTACGTTTTCCAGCCGAAATTACTCTCACCACTAGATGGCAGCAACGTGGCTGAACACAGTGAAGGCCAGAACAGAAAGAGAAGTAAAACACAGCTTTGTTTTAAATTTTCTTAGCAAGGAAAGAAACTACCTATCTGTACTTTTCTTTCTTTTCTTTTCTTTTTATCATTTGTTTGTTTATATGTACTTTTCATTATGGTACTCAAGAATGCCTCACAAGCAATGGCCAGAACATAAGGCTTAATCTGGGAGTTTTGTTTTCAGTGAAATCTAATGACTAACAATGGCATTATGGAATTGAATGTGCCTAAAAATCCCACTTCTGATATACCTGCTTGTTCTTTTAATGTGATAGTAGATCATCACTTTAAATATTAATACCAGTTCTAGCACCCTACACAGATTTTCTTCCTACCTGTGAATCTTGTCCAGGAAGCCATCTTAAGTCTGTATGGTTCCATGTTATGAAATTGTTCTTTTTTTTTGTACTTTCATGACTGCCTAGTCTTTTGTGACACTTTTGATGTTACCCTCCCATGTTTCAAGTTTCTTTGTTTTCCCTTTAATTTTCATCCACTATTTTAAATTTATTTTTATTTTTATTTCATGTGTGTGAGTGTTTTGTCTACATGCATGGAAGTGTACCCATGTCATGCAAAACCTGAAGAGGCCAGAAGAGGGCATTGAATCCCCTGGAACTGGAGTTAGGGATGGTTGATAGCTGCCATGGGGGTGCTGGGAACCAAACCTGGGTCCTCTGCAAGAGTAGTTAGCACTCTTAAAAGCTGATCCATCTCTCCAGCCCCTCATCCACTATTTCTCCTTCCTTCCTTCCTTCCTTCCTTCCTTCCTTCCTTCCTTCCTTCTTTCCTTCCTTCCTTCCTCTCTCTCTCTCTCTCTCTCTCTCTCTCTCTTTCTTTCTTTCTTTCCTTTTTATTTATTTTTTGGTCTTTTTGAGACAGGGTCTCCTTATAGTCCCAGCTGGCCTGGAACTCACTGTGTAGACCAGGCTGGCCTTGAACTCACAGAGATCCTCCTGCTTCTGTCTCCCAAGTACTGGGATTAAAGGCATGTGCCACAATGCCTGGTTCATTCACTATTTCAGAACAGTTTAAAAAATAAGTAAGCATTAGCCATGGTCTAATTGAAACCACACCTTCCTCATGTCTGTTTTTGAGAGCTTGAGGAGTGATGTTTGGAACAGACTGGTTTGGGCAATAATATTATTCCATTTTTCCTCCCTGAAAAGGAGGCTAAGATGAGGTCTCTTTGCTGTTATTTTGTTTTCTGAGACAGGGTCTCACTGTGAAGCCCAGTCTGAACTCAAACTTGAAATTCCATTGCCCTGGCCTTCCAAGCTGGGATCAGAGGCAAGTACCACCAGGCCCAGTGAGTGAGTTGAAGTCCTTGATGCTGTTTTGAAGCATTGGACCAATTTGCACTATTCTGAAGGCCATCGCAGGGCCTCAGAAACCATTCTCCGTCTTAATCGTGTCTGGTTAAAGTTGACCCTTGTACATTTAAAGACAAAGCATTACCTTGCTACAGCCAAGCAGTAGATGGCATTCTCTCTTGGCGTCTTCCCACTGTGTTCTGAGAAGGATGTGAAGGAAGACCGTAGCAAGCAATCAGCCCTGGCTGTGGTGGAGTAGAACCGCGGATGTGAGTAGTCTGCTCTTGGAACTGGAGGAAGGGGGACCTGGGGGAGATAGGTGTTTCTTATGTGCTTTTCTTTTCTCCTAACTGTGGTAGTTATTTTTTCCTGGCTTTCTTGTTGATGGCTTTGTAATTCTGAGAACCTGTTCGCATTGACTAAGGGTGGGAATGTGAAGTTTTGTTCTCTGGTGTCCCTCTGTGGAATTGCTAGTGGATGGCCAGGTTTCCTGCTCGTCCTTTGATGCTTGCGATGTGGCAACTTGCTCAAGGTGCTTTGCGAGTCCTTGTCTCCAACCTCGTGCCAGCTCTTAGAGGTCATTTCTGGCTTGGTAAAACCATCCACCATCACAATGTCTCCAACTTTTGCCCCTGAGACCCTTACTCTGCGGAGCTGGTTTTTATCATCTTTGTGGCTCTGAGCTCTGAGCACCCATTGTTTTATTTTAATGTAAATCCTCATTGGGACTGAAATTTTCAGAAAAGAAACCGTGGACCACATTTTACTCAGCAAATACAATACACAGTCTTTATGCTGGTGCTTTGCTGCGATGGTCAAGGGAGTTTGCCCTAATGCATTTTTACATTCCAGGCACAGAATGCTGCAGTTGACAAAGGCCTTCAGAATCAGCAGTTGGCCTGCTTCTGCAGCTGCATGAATAGGGCATTTAGAGACATCTGCATGAAGGGCTTCATGGCACCATGCTCGATAGGGATGAACACCAACCGCCTCCTGGGGCCGCACGCCCTGTTTCAGGGCCCATTCAGTGAGTTCAGTGTGACCGTAAAAAGCAGCGATGTACAGGGCTACCCTTTTCTGGTACCTGAATAGTGAGACAAGTTTGGGGGAAAGAGTTAACAAGTCAGCAAACACAGGAAAATAGTTATGCTAGACACAAAGCATTTGTTACAATGTTCATTTCTTCCTTCCACTCTAAAAATATTTTTAGAGGGGCTGGGAAGATGGCACAGTGAGTAAAAGAGCTGTGGCAGAGACAGGAGAATGAATGGCTAGGGCTTGCTGGCCACCAGCCTAGCTCCGGGTTCAGTGACAGACCCTGTCTCAAGGGAATAAGGTGGTGATAAAATAGGGCAGCACACATCCTGCATGCACTTGCACACATGTGCACATGGACCACACATACATAACCAACAACACACACACATGCATACACACACACACACACACACACACACCAATCAGACTATGGTGTTCTTTTGGGGGGTGGTCTTTTTGATTCAGCTGGCCTGGAACTTGCTCTGTAGACCAGTCTGGCCTCAATTTTGCAGAGATTCACCTGCCTCTGCCTCCTGAGTGCTAGGATTAAAGGAGTGCGCCACCACGCCTGGCCAGAACTATGTTGTTTTGTTTGTTTATTGAAATAGGGTCTCATATAGACTAGCGTGGAACTCACTGTGTAGCTGAGTCTGGTCTTAAACTCCACATCCTGCCTCTACCTCCTGAGTGCTGGAACTGTACACATATGTGACCCAGCCCAGCATGAGCTATATATATATTTTTTAGATTTAATAAATGTTTATAGCATATTTCATCCAACAGCTGTGGAATATACATTCTTTTCAGCAGTCCAGGTAACTTTTTCTAAAATAAATCACATTTTTTTAATTCTTATTCTTTTATGAAGTTAGTTAAAAATTAATGAACAAGAAATTAAAGAGACTGCACTGCAATTAAGTTAGAATATTCTAACTGGAAAACAATTACTGTGAAACTATTTACATTCTCATAGAATTATAAACATTTCTCAAGGAATACTTTACAGTAAAGTATTCCATGAGCTATATTTTTAAAAGCAAAATCACATCTTGGCCCTTACCCCATCCGATGTCTTCCCAACTCTTGAAACGTAAAGTCCACAGCTCCTCATTCTCCTGCATGAACATATCTTTTATCTTTCCAGCCTTTGTTCACTAACCACCTCATTCCTTATGAATGGCTTTGAGTTCCTTGAATCTATTCTGTATATCCATCTACTTTAAAACACTGGCTTTTTTCCTTCCCTCTACCACCTACATATGAATCCTGTAGGTCTCAAACGTCCCTCTCTTAGGATACCTTGTTTTGTTCCCATTCTGTACACTGTTCCACCATCTTGCATTGTATTCTATCATAGCCCTTTTCACACTGGGTAGTAACAGCAACCAAGCTTGACTTTATATCCTGCTTACTATGTGCCAAGCACACTTGGGATTTAAGACATCTAGTCCCTAAAACAGGTCTATGAAATAGATGCTACTTTATTTCCGTTTTATAGAAGAGGAGGGTAGAAGAGGAGGCTGAGATCCAGGATGGTTGTGTAATTGCCCAGGTTTACCTAGCTAAATAGTGAGAGCAGGCCTTCAAGGCAGGCAGATGCACACTGGAGTTCTACTTTCAAATATTTTACAGTTCTGCTTCTCCAGGAATTGGTTCCTTGTTTCCTGTTTCCCTTCTGGACTGTGAGCTCACAAAAGGCAGGAACTATTTTGCTTACTGCTGAATTCCTAGGATCTTGCACAGTATATACTAAATGCTCAGTAAGCATTTTTGATTTGGTAGCAAAATAAAAAGAATTTTTTTCAGTTTGACCACGTACATTCTTCGAGCTCTTAGATTTTATTTAAAGATAAAGGATAGATGGTCAAGCACATTGGGACTAGAGTCAAACTGTTTCTATCTTGTCCCTACCCTTGCTAGCTGAGGGACACTGGAAAAGTTTCCTAATCTCAGTTTCCTCATCTGTCAAACAACATAAAAAGCATCCACCTCATTAACTTGTTGCAAATATAAAACAAGGCAATAAACACAGCACATCGTTCATCTTGAGTGTATGCTCAATAAATACACACTAAAGTAACAATGCAACACAGTTATCTTCTATTCTGGACATGAAACAAGAATTACAACTATTTCCAAGGAGAAACTAATATAAAAACTTGACTATTTCATAAGGTTGTAAAAACTGTGCCACCTATGTGTCAATTTATAGAGCCCCGGGCTCTTGATGGTGTCTGTGCTTTGGTAAAACATGGTTAAATCACCCATGAGGGAGTAGTGTTCTAAAACACCATTGAACTAAAACCTAACAGTTAATACAACCTGCACCTTTGTGAATTTTCTGGCATCAGTGATAGATTAAAATGCCCACTTGCTTGCCTTTCCAAGCCTATCATGCTCCATAGTCCCAGACACACATTACCCTTCATGTGAGCAAAAAATGAACACTTCTCAAAGGAAAAAGAGAGCTTTTTATCCTCATCTTAGCAAACACATTCATTTAGGCAGAGTTAGATTTGTGCCTGATGTCTGGTCGCTGTCTATGAAGGGCTGGGTATGTACTGCTCAGGTAGCCTAGTCAGTTCTTAGACAGAAACCTGACTTATTGTCTAATAAACACTTCTAAGCTCTAATACAACTGACCATTAAAAATTGAACAATAGTTTATTGTTTTGTAACAATGTCTGTTGTTAAACCCTGACATTTCAATTAAACACAAATTATAGTTATAATTCAATGCAAATTCAACAGTTGTATTTGGAATGAAATTTTTTCAAAATTAAATTTAGCGAATAAAATATTATACGTGAGTTTAAGAAGTGGCTATGTTTTTAGCCCATCAGTTGGCAGATTTTATTTTGTTGTTGTTAACAGAATAATTAAATGTGAGTGGCAAAATACTTATTCTGAAAATAAAAATATTTAAAGTGTTACCAAAAGTATGATATCCAAACTAAACTTATCAGTTTAATTAAGATTTCCAGAGGAAAATCTACCTGGATTGCAACCCATTACCAAAGCCTATCAGACCTAGTAAAATTCCTACTATCTTGACCCAGCAATTATCTCAATAATAATAACACATTGAGCCATATAAGGTAGACATGGCACCCAGCAGCACCATGGCTCTATGGAGGATACAGGCTTAAGATTGAATGGGGCTTAGCGAAAAGTTACTTCAATTCATCTAATATTCATTTTATCTCCCATACTTGAGTACCGGTCCTTCCTTTGATAAGTAGCGTTGGACTTTAAGTTTTTGTCCAAGAAGGCAGCCCATCAGAAATTCCTTCCATCCATCCCAGACATCCAAACGAAGTGTTGTTCCTGTGGATCAGGAGAGGCAGTTATGGTCCAGTCTGTCACTGTGGTTCAACAATCCATTAAACTTTTTCTTTTAAGATTAAAAAAAAATTTTAATTTATGTGTTATGAGTGTTTTGCCTGAATGTATATATGTGCAGCATATGTGTGCCTGGTACCCAAGGAGGCCAGAAGAGGGAGCTGGATTCCTAGGACTGATTGTGAGCCATCATGTGGGTGGTGGGAACTAAATCCAGGTCCTCTACAAGAGCAGCCAGTGCTCTTAATCACTGAGCCACGGCTCTAGCCCTGTCCTTCTAAATGAGAGCTTTCCCCAAACAGAGCTAGAAGCACAGTGAAATGTAACCTCAGAATAAGGAGACGGGCGTTAGGGTTAGGCCTTCATTGGCTGGGAAAAGCGATTTAACTTTCACCCACTTCTACTTGCCCCCTTTTCAGTGTGTGTATGGAATGCCCAACCCCAGAGTTTCATCATTTCTATTAAAAATAAAACTCTACATCTAGGAATTGCTTTTCATTCTTCTCATTTTTTAAAATGTCCCACGTTTAAACCAGGGCTTCTTAAAACTTTCAGCAATTCCTTTCAGCTCAAGAAACTTTTATGCAATTTTGGGTATATAGGTATATCAAATAGGTATACAAAGCAAATATTTACTGATAATAAATCATAAAGAATTTATTTGAGGGGCTGGAAAGATGGTTCAGTGGGTAAAGGTGCTTGCCACCAAGCCTATACCTGGGTTTAATCCCCAGAACCCACATGGTGGGAGGAGAGAACTGACTCTCACAAACTGTCCTCTGACCTGCATACACGCGCCATGGCACACGCACACCCCTCCCCCCAAATAAATACATGTTAAAAAAAATTTGGTGCTAGAGTGGTTAAAAGCATGTATTGCTCTTGCAAAGGACCTGAGTTTAGTGCCCAGCACCGATACGCTAGCTTACAACCACTTGTAACTCCAGCTCCAGGGGGTCCAACACCTCTGCCTTCTGCAGACACCCTCACTCATGTGTACATACACACAGATCACATATACATACACATAATTAAAAATAAGAATAAATATTAAAAAGAATGTACTTTAAAGCAATTCTTTGGTATGCATATTCTGTTACCATTTATAAAAGGCTAAAGAAAATTTGCACACAAATGGGACAGATATGCTTGTTTACTTTGACATAAATAATTAAATCTTGGGGCCGAAGAGATAGTTCAATAATTAAGAGCACTTGTTGCTCTTGCAGAGGGCCTGTGTACAATTCCCAGCACCCACATGGCGACTCACAAGCACCTGTCACTCCAGCTTTAGTGAGCCTGACACCCTCTTCTGGCCTCTGTAGGCACCTACACATGGGTACAGGTATACACACACACACACACACACACACTCAAATGAAAATAAAGTATTATTTAAAAATAATTAAATTGGGGGGCTGGAGAGATGGCTCAGCAGTTAAGAACACTGGTTGTTCTTTCAGAAGACCCAGGTTCAAATCCCAGCACCCACATGGCAGCTAACAGCTGTCTGCAACTCCAGTTCCAGGGGATCTGACAGCCTCTTCTGTCCTCCACAGGCATTGCACGACACAGGTGCACT